AGTAACAGAAACTAAGAGATGAAAAGAAAAGAAAAGAAAAAGAAAGGAAGAAAAAAAGACAATGTATAAAATCAATATAAAATCAGGCAAAACCAGTTGTGTCAGGTGGAAAAAGCAGATCTAAAAAGGTGTGTTTTGAGTTCTGATTTGTATTGTGAGATTGACTTTATGTTTCTAATGTGAGGTGGTAACGAGTTCCAAAGTCGGGGAGCAGAGCGACTGAAGGCTCTGCTCCCCATGGTGGTGAGACGGGCGGAGGGGACAGTCAAAAGGATGGAGGAGGATGATCTGAGGGAGCGAGAGGGAATGGCAATATGAATAAGATTTGAAAGATATGGTGGGGAGAGATTGTAGAGGGCCTTGAAAGTGAACAGGAGAATTTTGTAATCTATGCTGAACTTGGTTGGCAGCCAGTGGAGTTTTTGCAGGACTGGAGTGATGTGATGAATGGATGGGGTTTTGGTGATGATGCGGGCAGCTGAGTTCTGGACCAGTTGGAGCTTATGAAGAGATTTGTGGGTGAGACCGAACAGAAGGGAGTTGCAATAGTCCAGGCGCGATGTAACCAGACAGTGAACAAGGATGGCAGTGGAATGGGGAGTAAGGGAGGGGCGGAGGCGGTTGATGTTGCGTAGGTGAAAATAAGCCGAAGGATGGTGTTGTTGATATGAGACTGGAAAGAAAGAGTGCTGTCGAGGATGACACCTAGACTCTTTACCTGAGGGGAGGGAGAAATGGAACGGTTATCAATGACAATACTGAAATTTTTGGTTTTAGCCAGGGTGGATTTTGTACCAATGAGAAGAACCTCTGTTTTGTCACTGTTAAGTTTAAGAAAATTTGAGGTGAACCAGGATTTTATTTCAGTCAAGCAGTCGGTAAGCGAGGATGGCGGGAGGTTGGAGGCGGGCTTACTGGAAACATAGAGCTGGGTGTCATCCGCATAACAGTGGAAATCGATATTGTGCTTGTGGAAAATAGTGCAGAGGGGAAGAAGATAAATAATGAAGAGGAGGGGTCCCAGGACAGAGCCCTGGGGAACTCCTGATGTGACAGATGAAGGCTCGGAAGTGAAGGTTTTGATCCGGATGAACTGAATGCGGCCGGAGAGATATGATTTAAACCAGTTTAGAGGAGTCTGAGTGATACCGATAGAGGAAAGTCTATTGAGTAGGGTGGCATGGCAAATGGTGTCAAACGCTGCACTCAGGTCAAGGAGGATGAGGATGGACAGCAAGCCGGAGTCAGCTGCCAAGAGGAGGTCATTGGTGATTTTTATAAGAGCTGTTTCTGTACTATGGAGGGGACGAAAACCAGACTGAAACAGTTCATACAGGTTATTGTTGGATAAGTAAGTATGGAGTTGAGATGCAACTGTCTTTTCAAGAATCTTGGAGATAAAAGGCAAGTTGGAGATAGGACGGAAATTATTGTGATTACGGTAATCAGCGCCAGGTTTTTTCAGGATAGGGGTTATGGCAGCAATTTTAAAAGATGCAGGAACTGTTCCGGTGGAGAGAGAGGAGTGAATAATGGCAGAAATGAGAGGGAGTATAGATGGGGCACAGGCTTTAACCAGAACTGTTGGAAGAGGGTCAAGCAAACAGGTGGACAACTTGGACTTGTTGATGAGGCTTATGATTTCTGAAGTTGTCGGGAGTTCGAAGGAAGAGAAGGAGTGGGCTGGAGGAGAAAGTTCACGAGTAGGACAAGGGGTCGGTTGTGAGCTGAGATACTGATGGATCTTAACAATTTTACTGTCAAAAAATGACATAAGGGAGTTACAAAATTCAGTTGAACACAGATGTGAAGGTAGGGAGTCCGGGGTTTGGGTGATGTTCTTGTAGAGGGAGAATATTGACTTAGTGGAGTCTTCATTTGAATCAATTAAACAAGTGTAGTAGGAGGATTTGGCTTGATTGATACAGTCCTTGTAATGCAATATGTGAGTTTTGTAAATGTCTTTATGTACAACCAGTCCAGTTTTCTGGTGGAGCCTTTCAAGTTGCCGTCCTTTAGCCTTCATGAGCCGAAGTTCTGTAGTAAACCAGGGCGCAGAGCGAACAAAAGAGACAGATCTGGTTTTTAGCGGAGCAAGAGAGTTGAGTATTGAGTGAAGACCAGTATTGTAGTATGAGACCAAGTCATCAAGGATGGTTGAGTCTAGAGTTGAGTATAGATTGTCCATGAGAGAATTGACGTAAGAGAATTGAAATAGCAGGGCGAGCTGCCAGAAAATCCTCCTGAAGTGAAAGGCATGATCCTAGCTCGTTTCAGGTCAACAGGGGACAACAGCGTGATCCGGAATATAAATAATTATTATCCAGGTGAGTTTGGATGGAGGCCTGCAGCAACTCCGATACAAACTCTGAACTTCTCTCGAGCACCACGCAGCCCTGCTCCTCCACGCTGCTCCTCCGCTTTTCTGCAAGTCACCTCCACACCCGACAGCACGAGAGGCACCCCCGGTGAAAAACGAGACTGACCGGAGAGGCTGAGGCTGAAGTCGTCACTGGTCCGGTCCGGTTCATCTCCAGTCCGGCTCCGGCGCTCCACAGCACGAGAGACGAAGAGGCTGAAGATGTCCCTGGCCCAGTTCTGCTCCGATCTGGCGGCGCTTCAAAGCACCGGAGCGTCTCCTCCAGGTGAACACAGCGATTCCACGGAGGTGGATAGTCCTTCGGTAAAAGTAACGGGCTGCTCACTGAAGCTGAGTCCGGCTCTGTTGAAGACGAAGTCCCCCACAGCCAACTCGATTCTGGTCCAGTTCGAGGGTCACAGGTACACTTCCCCCACACCTATGAAGACACCACAAGGGCCAGTCCAGCAGAAAACCAGTGAAATACCATCCGGCGATTCTTGTCAGGACCAGGTTGAACCACAAAGGTCCAGATGAGAAGTTCGTTGAGGTCCAGAGAGAGAGAGAAAAAACACCGGACCTTCGTGCGACGACTCCCCAGCTCGAGGGGTCAACTGGCCGGCAGGGTGTGCTCAGAGTGACCGGTGGGGTGGGAGCAGCCGGTCCTGGACCAAAATATATTTTCGGACGGTCCCGTCCAGCTCTCTGAGTCACTGAACACCGAATTCGGTTGGAAGAGGGACCAACTTTAGTCCGGTTCGAAAAAACGAGTCAGTTTGATGATAAAAGACTGTAGAGAAGCCGGAGGGAGCTGCCGTCCATCAGCTCGCCAGAAGTGAAGTGAAGTTTGCATTCACACTGCACTGTGCATTCGAGTCAACCTGTTGAACAACCTGTTGAACCAACCTGTTCCCCCACCCGCCTGTGGGGGCGCTGCAGCAAGAACTACTGAAAGAAACGACACAAAAACCTCTGAAGACACATCTTCTTCTTCTTCTGTAAATAAAAATAAAAATGGAGTGGTATCAAGTTTTAGTTGTTATATTTTGTCATTTTTCAAAAATGGACTCAGCATGAGCAGAAGATGAGACAGAAGACCATGGAGAATATTGTTTTTCACACAAGGCAGCTGACGGCTCCATATAAGGTCAGAGCAATGTGTGTTTGTTTGTCCTGTGGAGCAGCCCGGTCTGTTTACATTCACACTGTACTCGAACCGCGCTGGAGTTCTCTTCTACCGGACCAAGACCTAGGTTTTGGCCCGGGCCAGAGTTCGCCTTTTTGTTCCGTGACAGAGTTCGATGTGCGTTCATACCTCCCTAAACGAACCGGACTTTCTAGGAAAACGAGCTAGAGTTCGATTAAAGCGGACTAAACAGGGCTGGTGTGAATGCATCCTAATAAACAGAAAAAGGAAAACAACAGACGTAAAAACATTGTCATCCCTTATGTTGCTGGAGTATCAGAGAAATTCAGAAGGATCTTCAACAAACACAAGATCCCAGTACATTTCAAACCCAGCAGGACTCTCAGACAGAGGCTGGTCCACCCTAAGGACAAGACACCCATACACAAACAGAGTGGTGTAGTGTATGTGGTCCAGGGCAGCGAGGACTGTCCAGACCTCTACATTGGAGAAACTAAACAGCCTCTTCACAGACGCATGACTCAACACAGGAGAGCCACCTCCTCTGGACAAGACTCAGCTGTTCACCTCCACCTCACAGATAAGGGACACTCTTTTGAGGACCAAAATGTGCACATTTTGGACCGAGAACACAGATGGTTTGAGAGGGGGGTGAAGGAAGCAATTTATGTAAAAAGAGAAAAGCCGTCTCTTAATAGAGGAGGAGGCCTCAGATTTCCACTTTCAAAAACCTATAATGCAACTTTAAAACAGATTCCCAGCCGGTTTTTACACTTGATGGGAACAGAGGGGCCTCGTCTGTATTAGAGGAACAAAAGACTCTTACTGTTGAGGTGTTTAGGTGTGAATTGCCAATCTACATATGTGTGTGTGTGTGTGTCTTATCTCACTCAGCCTTATAACCTGAATCTCTCACTCAATGCTGTTTGAATTGAGAAAGCTCCTCGGATGAGGAGCGAAACGTCTTCTGTTACAAATAAAGTCCAGTTGTTTTTGTATTGAACGCTTTTTGAAATTTGAAAGTAGCATATTTTGATTGATTTGTTGTGATCCTAATTTATTTATTTTTTTCTGTAAAAACTGAGTAGTGTGGGCTGATGTCTTCACAGTATTCTAATTTTTTGAAATCCTGTTTTCATGAGCTAGAAGCCCAAATTATGTAAAAAATAAACAAATAAATCCTTAAAAAAGTTATAAATTGTGGGCCCTGACTATCATCTATTAAAGATTAACTTTTTGAATGGAATTATGGAAGTTAAACAACTTTTCCATGATATTTTCATCTTTTGGAAAGGGTCTGTATATAGCATATTATATATATAATATATATATATATATATATATATATATATATATATATATATATATAATATATATATATATATATATGGTCACCTTCTACAGGCGTATAAAAAAGTTACATAAAATTATTTTTTGCAGCAAAGTTAAAGTGTCACATACAACGCGCTCTAAGGGAGAAAGAAAAGGACTCACTGAAAAGGTTGCGAATGCGACTGGCTCCAACTCCAACAAACATCTCGTCAAACTCCGACCCAGACGCGTAGTAAAACGGCACGTCCGCCTCTCCGGCTACCGCTCTAGCCAGTAGAGTTTTTCCAGTCCCAGGAGGACCGATGAGGAGAACGCCTAAAAACAAACAGTATGTGAGGAGAAAAGGAATAAATAAAGAAGTAAAGAGACAGACTTTGTGACTCAGACCACCTTTTGGCAGCTTTCCTCCCAAGGCTGTGAACTTCTGGGGGTTCTTCAGGAACTCCACCACTTCCTGCAGCTCATTTTTAGCTTCTTCAACCCCCTTCACATGCTCAAAGGTCACATTTTTCATCTGTACTGGGTCCACAGCTGAGTCCAAGCCTGATGTGGTTCGGAAGCGCACTGTCCAAAATGGTTAGATTAAAGTTCGAAAACATACAGCACAGCCACAGTTAACCAGCTCACTCACACAGAACACACACAGACGACGAGTGAAAACATCTGGTGCCATTTCTAATTGTTCCAGTACAGCTAGAAGAACTTCTGATTCAACCAAAGTTAGTTCATCACAACCGTAAACTGCTCAGTTTTCATTAGCTAGATAAAGAAGCTACAAGATTTGTTGATAATATTTATAGTTCAATACACTCAAGAACTGAAAACGTGAAGGAGAAAGTGTCCTTTACCAGATATGAAGGGGATTTTGGAGATGCCGCAGAGCCCCAGCAGAAGCAGCACCAGCAGGATAAGACGAGTTCTCCTCAGGGAGTCTGGACAGCCAGAACAAGACAATCACCACAGATCAAGCTGAACGATCAAACACTTGCCGAGTGGTTCATTAAAACCTGCCTTGCGTGCGCTGCGTCAGGGCTTGAGCTTTAAGAAAACCCTCAGCGAAACCTCTATTGAAGGTTTCCTGCTGCCCTTCAGGTACATTTTTGTTCTTCAACAGGCTGTGAAGACTTTCAACGTCTAGTCCCTTATCACGTGTAAGGAAACCCTGTGGAACAACACGACACACCTCAGTACTCAAACTTCTCAAGCACTGCTGTGCTTTCAAGACGAACACACTGGAAGCTTGATTCTGCTAAAAGATGCATCAAGCTAGGCTTCACCAGTTTGGTCCCAGTAAGCCTTTTACAAATAACAAAACAAACAGAAATGTTTTTGCTTCAGTAACTACCTTCATAAAAGAGGGTGGAAAGGTTTCAGAGTCTGCTGGATGTTCAAAGGCTGACTGTACCCGGCGTGTTTTGCTCCTTAAAGTTTTGAAGCTGCGGCTCTGAATTAACACTTAAAAACAAAAAAGGATGAACAAAATACAGAATTGTTATTTTCTCAATAGTAGTAGTCTGCACTGCATAAAGCCCTGTGATGGACTGGAGACCTGTCCAGATGTCCTCCACCTCTGGCACAGTGATAGCTGGACATGGGCACCAGTGACCCCCGCGACCCAAAAAAGAAGAAGCGGGTAAACATACTGGATGCATGCAGTGCATAAAAAATGCTATAATTGAAAAAGTGATCAAAGACATTTTATTAAACTGATCATTTAAGATTACCTGGCCAGTGGTTCAGCTCTGTGCAAACAGTCTGAAGAGGTGAAAGCTGCTGCTTTGAGAAAACAGGGCCTGACGTGCGCAAGGTACTCGGTGAGAAGCCTGGCGTGCAAAAAGTGGAGATATTTTGAGGGTTAAAAAAGAAGCAGAGGTTGAAATTGACTGTTGACAGCCAAAAAGTCAAAGACTGAAATGATCCAAGTGACATATGCAGTCATAAATAATGGCATGGTCCAAATCCATCTGAGAGAAGCAGCAGAACTGTGCTGTGCAATAAACAAGACTCCAGACGTCACCAATGTCACAGACACTGGCTTCTCCTACAAACAAATTACTTTATTCTCACCGTGTTTGTTGTGGAAAAATGAGGAGGTGGAGAGATACGAGGTCCTCCATGAAGTCTGACCGTCAAGTGGAAGGGCGGTATCGTGTGGCTTCAAACATGTTACAACACGGTTCCCCAACTCATCCAGCTGCTGTTTATTCAGATCGGACAACCCGAGCTCTTGTAGGTTCCACTTGGACTGAGCAGACGGACATAGCAGTAAAGTGTGACACAAATCCATGAGTTATTGTAACATTTGGTGATAAAAGCAGCACGGAGCTTGGAAATGTACAATTAGTAATCAGTAAATCCACACATTAAGAATATAGCCATCTTTTGATTATTATTATTGAAATTAGTACAGATTGGTGAATTGTAAGAAATGCTGCAAGTGTCCAGAGAAGAAACAATAAGGTGAGGTGACATGTGGGCTGGTAACATCATCCGAAGTGCATCTGCGTCATGCATGTGCATCACCTGCGCGTGCTGCAGGTGTGCGTGTGGGGCCTGTTTGCGGTGTCTTGATTTACAGCTGCTGCCCACGGAGCTCTTCACAGGATGGAGGATGTTGAGGAGGTGGCTGAGAGGCAGAGTCACCTGCGCTCAGACATTCAACAAGCACACGCACATCTGTGACATGAACCAGCTAACACGGCAAGTACATCACTACTGCACTGCTCCAGCTAATGCAAAGACTAAACAAAAACATACGCTGCTTCACGATTCAACATTTATCTTAAAATAACATTTTTAAATAGCACAATTTAATATAAAGACAAAATACCCACTGACATAAACTTCAACCACTAAATCTAAAGAGGTACTCAAGCAGAAGCTAACTGAAACAACGATGCTAATGCTAAAATGTTCCTACCTGTGGCTGGACGGTCATGGACACGGAAAACATTGTTAATATTTCACTTGTTAAACTCTGAAACTTGTGTCCAGGTCCTGAAGAGTTAAAAGTCCTTGTTTGTTTCACTCGGTCTCTCCGTAGCAGGCATAGCAAAGTCCCACTGTAAACTTAACAGTCTGAACCAAAACAACTAGGACCAAACCGGACATGACGTCAAACACGTCGAAGCAAATTTTGTTGGTTCTTGAGGTTTCATTGGCGGTTGTCAAAAAAACGTTGAGGTTGCATTACCGCCACCTACCGGTATGGAGTGTGGCTCAAATTGTTATTTTTATCTTTATTTAATAATAATAATAATAATAATGTCATCACAATGTCAGCACTGTATGTTTCCATACAATGGCGAAATTAGTCTCTGCATTTAACCCATCCACCACCAGGTGGTACAACTTCACTTTAAATAAAACAACCTAAAAAATACACACCAAATAACATTGAACATGTCAAAAAAGGAAGAAAAAGGGAAGCAAACAATAAGAAAAAAAATAAAAAATGCAAAGATAAATAAAGGCGAGTTACAAAGTTAAGTTGTATTGGTATGGTATGGTATAAAGTTTATTCATTTAAAAAATACAAAACGATTTCATAACAATATAAAAAAGATACAAAAGATTTAAAATGAAAGGCAGCAGAAAGAAGAAAAAATCTTATTATATCTGCCCCTTTTTTCAAACAATTATTTCAATCATAATAATCTTCAAGTAACTGAACAAAATGAATAACTCTTTCTAATTTTTCTAATTCTAATACAAAACACACACTAAGCTACTTCATATATACTTTTTTAACAATCCAGCTTTGATCTTTTTCTTAAATGTACACATTGACTTGGCATTTTTCACATCACTCTCTAGACCATTCCACAATCCAACTCCTTGGATTGAGGTAGACCTTCCCTTCAGACTAGTTCTGAATTTTGGTTTGACAAATATCTCTATCCCCTTAAGATTGTAACAACTTTGTCTTTTAACAAAATTTCTTTGGATATTTAATGGTAATGTGTTATTTTGAGCCCTATACATAACTGATAAAATACTTTAATCTACCAAATCATGGAACTTCAATAAGTTCAGTTGATAAAATAATGTGCTTGATGGGTGACAGTAATGCTTTCTGGTGATAATTCTTACAGCTCTTTTCTGTCAAATAAAAATAGGTTTTGTAAATGTTTTACACGCTTTCCCCCAAACATCAATGCAATAGATTAAATGTGGAACAATGATTGTGTTATACAACATGTACAGAGCTTTATCATTTAATAATTCCCTGACTTTGTATAGTACTGCAATAGATTTAGATATTTTTGTTCTTACAGAATTGATGTGATTTTTCCATGTTAGCTGTTCATCAATGATTACACCCAAAAATTTCATCTCATTAACTCTACAAATCTCAACACCCTCAATTTTAAATGGATCATCAACAGTTCTCTTTTTGTTACTAAATATCATGTATTTAGTTTTATCTAAATTTAATGATAATTTATTAACTTTAAACCAAGTTTGTATTTTATCAAATTCTGTCTTCATCAATTTCAACATCCATTTTACATCTTTACCCAAACAAAAAAATGTGGTGTCATCTGCAAAAAGGACACATTTGAGGAGTCCTGATACATTCATTAAGTCATTCACATATAAAATAAATAACTTTGGTCCAAGTACAGAGCCTTGAGGAACTCCACAAGTGATATTGCACAGGTCAGATCTTACACCATTTATTTGTACAAACTGTTTCCTATCTTTTAAATAGCTAGATACCCAGTGTAATGCTGGTCCTCTTATACCATATTTATTTAATTTTTCAAGGAGAATAGTGTGGTCAATAGTATCGAAAGCTTTTTTTAAATCAACAAAAATACTAACAAAATACTGTTTTTGATCGACAGCAGTAGTTATTTGTTCTATTATTTCCATGAGAGCCATTGATGTAGAGTTTTTTGCTCTAAACCCATACTGACTGATACTTAGAATGTTTTGTTTAGTAATAAATTTATCTAATCTGGTCACAAACAGTTTTTCTAGAATTTTTGAGAACTGTGGTAATAAGGATATTGGTCTATAATTATTGAACACACATTTATCACCATTCTTAAAGAGAGGAACTACCTTAGCTACTTTCATATTGTCTGGAAATATTCCTTTTGAAAATGATAAATTACAAATATATGTAAACGGCTCGATAACATAACTCATTATGTCCTTTACAAACATCATATCCATGTCCACCCAGTCTTTTGATCTCTTATCTGTAAGATTTTTTACTACATTCATTGACGTCCTTTTCAGGGACACCACCAAGTCATTGGTTCAGGTATGTTGACGACACCTGGGTTAAAATTAAATCTCAGGAAGTCCAACATTTTACTGACCACATGAAATCTGTGGATAAATACATCAAGTTCACACGAGAAGATGTAAAAAATGACAGGTTGGCTTTCTTGGACTGTGAGGTCTCAGTCTCTGATAGAGGACATTTGCAAACTGAGGAGTACCGCAAATCCACCCACACAGACCAGTATTTGCAGTTTGACTCCCATCACCCTTTGAAGCACAAGTTAGGAGTCATCAGGACTCTGTACCACAGAGCAGACAGCGTCCCCACTAGCTCAGGAGCCAGGCAGAAGGAGAAATCCTACACAAGACAGGCTCTAGAGCAATGTGGATATCCTAACTGGGCCTTCCTGAAAGCAGAGAAGAAACCCAAACAGGACTCCAGTCAGCCATCAGGTGAAAAGGAGGAACCCAGACCCAGACCAGTGGTCATTCCAGATGTTGAGGGAGTATCAGAGAAACTGAGACGT